GGGCGGGCTGCGCCCCCGGCACCCGCCCCGCGCGGAGCGTCGTCCCGGGCCCGAAGCAGCGGAGCGGGAGCCCGAGCGAGCTGCCTTTTTTTGCTCTCTCCTCGTTGACAAGCACCCACGAAGTTACGGTGCTAGCGTGAGAAACGTCGCTCCTGAGGCGCAGTGTCGAGAAAATGCCCCGCGCAAGGTGAAGAGCTTTAAAACGCAGGAGGTCGTGCTCATTCTCGGCTCTAACCAGCAAACTTCAGTGCAGTCTCCCCCCGCGGCTGTCCTCATGCACGGATCTTAAATGATCGTTAAATTGAGCGAGCTGGTGATTTTTTTTTTAAGGCAAAAAAGAAAAATAGTTAATTGCACGTAACAAGGATTCAGAAACTTTGAAATGTTTTTCTGAGGGCAAGTTGCAGTTCTTGGTAAGTCAGCTCTTACTGAAACGGCTTCAGAATGAATTGTACTGAAAGGCAAGCAAGATAGCAGTACTCAAATGGAACCTCACTTGCCTTATGTAACACGTTTTATCTTCGCAATAGAAGCGTATTTCAATTCGTCTGATGAAGGGCTGTTTTAAATAGAGGTACTCAAGACCTTTGTGTAGTATGACCACATTTCTCACAGTTGCATGGGTATTTTTGTGTTTCAGAGGGTTGCCATTCTTGTAAAAGAGCCATTAAAACTTAGTATGCTAAGCCTCACAGGAAAAGTCAGAATAATCCATCAATGGCTATTAGCCAGGATGAGTAGGAATGGTGTCCCTACACTCTGTTTCTCTGGAAGTGGGTGACAGGGGAGGGATCACATGAGGTTTACCTGTTGTGATCCCTCCTTCTGGGGGCATCTGGTATTGGCCACTGTCGGCAGACAGCATACTGAGCTAGATGGGTCTTTGGTCTGACCCAGGATGGCCGTTCTTATGGTCTTTCTAATCCTTAGTATGTTTGGACACCTCATCTTTGAGGGATTCCACCTTAGGATTCCTTGTCAGTCTAAAACAATGCCTTTGTTGTAGTGGTCCTAAGGTTGCAGAACACACTCATCCTTGAAACCTGAGTCCCTTCGTCTCTTCTCACTTTTAAACAACCTTAATAGTTCCCTCCTAAACATAAAGGCTTGATTAAGCAGTAAAGAAAATACTATTTTCTCCTCCTCTTCCC